CAGGGCCGGTCATCTCAGTCAATCAACCCATGGCACCTGGGTCTGTCCCGTGACCCTCTGCCGGCGGGCATTCGATACTTCACGTGGCCTTAACGTGCACATAGCCTGGCACAGGAGCCGCGGTGACGTCACCGCCACTGAGTAGCGAATGGCGGTTGTTGTTGGCTGCTATGAGAATGGTTCCCACCGCGGGGTTGGCGGGGTGGGGGAGATACAAAAGCCATCTTGGCAGAATCTGGTACTGCCAGTCACCAAATTGTTGTTGCGGCCACAGGGTCTCGGTTTCTCACCGCAAGGCGCTGGTAAATGTAGCGGCGCGCACAACAACCACATCCATGGCAAGAGCCATGCTGGAGGTGTTGTGCCGGATATAGGAATATTTTGCCTGGACAGTCCCCGGCTGAAATGAAGCGATTGATGCTGGCTATTCGGTGTTGTTTATTCTCCATTCGTTGTGTGTCTTGCCTCTGCGCTGCTCTCGCTGCTGCTGCGTTATTATTGAACGTGGTACTGGGGTCTGCAGTCTCTTACGGAGTCATTATCTCAAATTCCCCTTTGTTCCGGTGCCTGGAGATGTTACTGCATGGGAGGCGTTGTGTAAATAATAAATGATGATGATGAAGATGATGCCGCGAGGAAGGGCACCTGATGAGACACCAGCGGTTGATGTGCGGCGCGAGGCACAGGGAGACTCAAAGCAAAAGGCTTTGAGTCCCAAGTAACTCAAGGCCCCCCCCCCCGGATTCATGAATAAATTATGGATGCATCAAATATCAGCTCAAATTTCAGATCCTAATAAACATTTTTAAAAAGGCAATGAACATATACAAGCCCATTAATCTATCTTATCCATAACTTGTCTGCCGCTCTTTTCTCTCGTGTCGCTCTGCATCTCTCCCATCTCGCGACATCTCACTGACCCCCCCCACCTCTATCTTTTAGCCAACATCTCTCTCTCTCTCTCTGATGTCGCTACGTCTCGATCTACTGTCCCATCTCTCTCTCTCTCTCGTCGTCTCAAGATGAGGAGTTTGAACGTTTACAGCGAAGGCGCAGGGGACGGTGAATGGGTTGTTGGACCCTTCCCAAAATAAAATCTGCTTAGAGCCCCCCTCCCACCACCGCTACTGGGTTGGGGTCGCGTAACGGGGCGCTGGGCAGAGCATGACATTCGCGCGAACGCGAGTTACACCTCGAAAGAAGCCAATTCCCCAGCGGTCATTATCGTGAGTCTCCGTGCAAACGTTCACAGCTTCTGTCGGCGCGAGTTAGAAATCCCTCGTATCCACAGCTCCTCCACGCACGACGCCTGTGATAATTAGCAGGTTGAGTCTAACCGGCCGGGCGTGGGTCTCGCCTCCGTCAACTCGGCCTGAAAATAGCGCGCTGTGATCATGTCGCACAAGCTTGCTGTGGCTGTTTTTGTTATTGTTGTTGTTGTCACGCGATATACGTGCTGCTGTGGGCTTATGCGCAACGCCAGCGACACGTAGCTGGGTTGTTCTACCTGGCCTGGGTCTCAGCTAGGTTAACTCGGCCTGAAAATGTCTCGCTGTGCTCCGTCTCGGTATTCGGCACCTGCCCCGTTCGTGTAGCCCCGCAGAGAGACTCGCCTTGCCTCGGGCGGCAGCTGCAGCGGGATACGTCGCCGTACTACTACTGCACGACGCCCAGCCACACCAATGGAGCGTTGGGTGCACAGCCACTCCGAACCCAGTGGAGTGGCCGCCACTGGCAGCGGGGATCTGTTAGGCTAAGTGCGGCATCGCTGTTTTTATTTAGAGTCTGTCCGCCGCCACGCGCCTAAACAGTGCGGAGCAGCGGAAATTGGCGAGAGCAAGTGTGAAACTGTCTCTTAGAGCTATGAAATCGCGCGGATGTTTTTGATTAGGGCCCCGTTTGTTTTAAACGTTTATCCGGTGGCCTTAAGCCAATTTGATTTTTACGTCTTGACGCACGCTTGGCAAATGTTTTCTTTTTCCATTGGCAATCGAATAACTTTCCTTCCTTCTTCAAGAAATTACAATAATACATCGTTATTTAGTTTTCATTTATTGCAGCAGTAAGGACCCAGTGAGATGCTAGCCTCTTATGGGCATTTTGCGACGGTACGGACGTTACCGCTGCACGGATCTTAGTAACACAAGCGTGGTTACATATCTCGCTATGCAAACAGCGAGTATCGGTGTGTGTCACGTGCAACTTGTTAGTTAGTAAGGAGTTGTTAGTAAGTAAGGAGTTGTTAGTAAGTAAGGAGTTGCTAGGTAAGGAGTTGTTTGCAAGTAAGGAGTTGTTAGCAAGTAAGGAGTTGTTAGTAAGGAGTTGTTAACAAGGAGTTGTTAGTAAGGAGTTGTTAGTAAGTAGTTGTTAGTAAGGAGTTGTTAGTAAGGAGTTGTTAGTGAGTAAGGAGTTGTTAGTAAGTAAGAAGTTATAGTAAGGACTTGTTAGTAAGCAAGGTGTTGTTAGTAAGTAAGGGGTTGTTAGTAAGGAGTTGTTAGTAAGGAGTTGTTAGTAAGGAGTTGTTAGTGAGTAAGGAGTTGTTAGTAAGTAAGGAGTTATAGTAAGGACTTGTTAGTAAGCAAGGTGTTGTTAGTAAGTAAGGGGTTGTTAGTAAGGAGTTGTTAGTAAGAAGTTGTTAGTGAGTAAGGAGTTGTTAGTAAGTAAGGAGTTATAGTAAGGACTTGTTAGTAAGTAAGGTGTTGTTGGTAAGTAAGGGGTTGTTAGTAAGGAGTTGTTAGTAAGTAAGGGCTTGTTAGTAAGTAAGGAGTTGTTGGTAAGTAAGGACTTGTCCCTTGCTTGTTACTCGACGCGTGTGCGGCGATGACGCAGCCATCGATCGAGGGTCGAATTGGAACCGCGTTGTGTGATCGGCATCGCACTCGCTGAAGGTGTCGATGCCTTCAGGGAAGTCGTGGACTGTAGACGCAACTGCGCACAATTCTGAGTCACTTATAACTGCTTTGCTGTTACTTATCGCTAATTAGGGACTCAGACTATTATCCTACCACCTCATAGAGTCCCTGGCACGTAATAATATGCTGCACAGTAGCAGTGGGGGTCGCAAAATGCCGATGTATTACTAATAAACCCCAATGATCCAATCGAAATTAGGAATTTAGATCGGATCATGGGGGGGGGGGGGGGCATGTGTCACCCCACCCTGGTCACGTGATACAGGAATAGGGAACTGGTCGTATTTAAAATGTTAAACGGCAATTCACTTTTTTCACTGACTCTTATTCGTATTACTTTAATTAAATTATTGCTACATTTGGTGCAGAATTGTTGGGTTAAAATGATTTCAAAATGACTGGATGTCACCCAGGTCCCCTTGCAAAAGAGAAGATGCCTCACGCGTCTCAACGGGTTTGTGTTGTCATCTTCAGGTGAAATCCAGGAGACTCACTCACCGGCTGAGGGTTCAGTTTATTTATTTGGTAGAGCCCTGTGAGCCATTCGGCTCTTGAAGCGGGTGCAACCACAACAAACAAAAAACAAAATCACGAGCAAGAAAACATCTTAAAGTGACTATGTGACTGTGCAAACAGAAAATCCATGAAAAAAACCGGCAAAATATTCCTGAAAAAAGCACCGTACACCAACGCTGTGTGCAAAAAATCCCAGTGGGATGCAAGTCAAACAACAACAACCACAAGACAACTAAGATTAAGGCCATCAGTCTAACTCCGTACTACAACAAACAAACATGGCCAAGCAAAAAAAACTTTTCCAAATCACCAAAAAATAAAGCCATAATTGCAATGTAACAGTGATCATAGGGCCCGTGACCGAATTTTTACAATAAACTACATAAATAACATGTAACACACAAATCCTAGAGCCATAGCAAGCTGCATGAGTTACTCCACAACAAAAGAAGCATCAGTCGGAGTATAACATTTTTCAATGCACCTTTAAGATCAGCACGCTAAATCAAAATACAGATAATAGTTTGCAGCGTCATTCGGAGCGAAACATTTTATTTTATTTTAGGCCACTGAATAGCAGTGGCAGCTAGGGGTGTACAACTCCTCTAGAGCAGTTTTGAGAGAAGATCTCATTGGTAGCGATTCAAGTTGCAGTTTATTGACAATAGCATTCCAGACTCTGGGGGCATCAATAGCAAAGGCCCTTCCTCCAGTTTTTGTACGGCAATAGGGAATGTGAAGTTGATAAATGAGCGAATACCTGAGGTCAAATTTGTTCTTTGAAACAGAGAGGAGATCCAGCAGGTAGTCTGCGGATTTTTTTGTAAGTACATCGTGAATAAATAAGATCTGGTGCACAAGCCGTCGAACATTAAGAGATGTTAAGTTTGACCCAATGTAGAGATCACAGTGGTGAGTCCTATATGGGCAGTTCAATGTAAATCTTAAGGCCGAGTGATAGATGGAATCAAGCTTCTTCAGTACAGTACTTGGGGCTGATTTATACACGATGTCACAGTAGTCAAGTAGAGGCAGTATGGTAGCTTTTATCAATTCCAAACGGAACATTGGGGGGAAGCAGTGCTTGTGTCGATACAGAAAACCAATTTTTATTTTTGTCTTTTTACCAATATAATCAATGTGATCTTCAAAATTCAGTTTGGAATCCAGGATGACCCCAAGATACTTACAGAACTTGACTTGCTCTATTTGATAATTATTTAAGGAATGTAATTGGGGAAAAATAACGTCCTGCTTTAGTCCTGGTGAGAAGCATAGCACCTTGGTTTTGGAGGTATTCAGGACTAGTTTATATGGAAGTCTATAGCAGACAAATGCTCTGAACTCACTTTGATTCTAAATGTGGAGGGAAAAACCAGAGGACCCGGAGACAAATCCACGCGACTACAGGGATAGAGGCACGCAAACCCCAAATGTGCAGGTATCAGGGTCGGGATCGAACCCACGACCTCCTGCATACCAGGCGAGGGAGTTCACACTGAAATGCTGGGTTAGCGTCTGGATTTTAGCCACTGTAAAGCGGCCACAGCCACTCTGTCTCTGTCCTCGCAGTTGAGCGGCAGCCGCCAGGACGTCCGCCACGGAGACGGAGCCGCGGGATGGCAGGTGAGGGCTGACGATGCATCGCGACACGGCGAGAGATGGAGACGGCTTGAGGAGGGAGGCGTTCGTCCAGCAGCGGATTGATCGTGGCTGCTGCCGCTGCCGCCGCTGCCGCTGACAATGATGATGAGTGACCTGTGTAAAATACCGTTGGGCCAAGCCGCATCTTGCCTTTGTTTAATTTTTCTCCTTCTCCTCAGAGGGGCCCCGACCAAGCGAGAGAGCGAAATAGATTCCTCGTGTGCACGTTTCGTTCCTAGCAGAGCGGCGCGCGGATTTTGCAGCGGCAATCAGCGCAGCAGCAGCAGCAGCAGGAGCAGTTGGGAAGCTGTCATCTGTCCAGATATCCAGTTACCCGTCCGATAGGCACATGCGAGCAGATGGTAGTAGGTATTACAGGCAGCGGTGCCACTTTGACCGATCAGATGTTGGTAAACAGATTTTTTTTGTCGTCTTCCTTGCAATGGTGTTTTGTGCTGCTGTGGATTTTCAGTATTAACGGTGTGTGTATATATACATAGTACGTGTATATATGTGTACATGTGCGTTTCCTGTGGGGGTCTGTGGCGCTGTGGTTAGCGCGCTACGCTACCCGGCGACCCGAGCTTAATTTCCGCTCACGGCCAACACCGGTGACGATTATCCGAACCAGTCATGGGCCTTCTCTAGGTCGACTCAGCCTCAAATGAGTACCTGGTGCGGTGAGTAAACATCGCCACCGTACTTCATAGGTGCTCGCCAACAGCACTTGCCCCGACATCTGTCAAGGCAACACGGGGGATTCTTTATCTTTGTCATACCTATGCTGAGATACCTGCCTCAGTGTGATAACAGTTCGCACAATGGACTTGCAATCCAGACGTCCGCGGTTTGATCTCCCGGCGTGGTAGTCCAAACGACGGTGCAAGTTTCTCAGTCTCCTCCCGCCTCTACCCACCCCAGCGGGTGTGGTGGAGTAAATTTGCGCCTAACTCCTTCCACTCCTTCCAGCGTGGAAGAGTAGGCCTGAATGCCTTCTTGGAGGTGCCATCTTAGAGCTTCCTCTCGTGCTTGGGAGACCTTTCTGCTGACAGTCGAGTGAGCAGCCAATGGCAGGGCAGCGCCTCTCCCCCCCCCCCCCCGACAGGGCTGAGCGTCACGCTGGTTGACGTCTGGGTCACCACGTGGGCGTGAGGCATCAGCGGCCACAACAATCGTGTAACGCCACCCGGGCGCTACTTGGGCATGCCACATCCATCTCGCATTATTTTTGTCCTTGTGATGTTTTATTTTAATTATTTTTTTCATTAAACTATTCATAGTGATTGCAGGAATATAGAGAACGATCATTGATGATGATGATTTTTATTTTTATTTTTGATAAGCGTACCCCTTGTAATGTAGTTTTAGTGCCTTATGCTGATGATCCATATTCCAAGCCAGCCGAGAGATTTTGCTTGAAGCGTCGTCGCGAGTGGAAATACTGAACCGGTCACCACCAACCCAGAAAGACCCAGCTGAAATTAACCGCTGCATAAATACACACACACACTATGACGATGACTTTATGATTCATGTTGTTCCTTTGTATATTTACCATTAATATTTTTTATTACTATCACGCGGAGTAATAATTATAATAATAAAAATAGTAAAAATTGCAGAGTTTAATTACTGTGCTTTTTGGTGATTCTAATTATTATTGAGTGATAATTGAGGTCCTTTATTTATCCACGTGAGAAGCCCATCGAGATTAGTTGTCAATTAGGCCAAGCGGACTCGCGGAGTAATTTCCAAAATAAGGATGTTATTAAAGGTGGCAAAGGTGCAGCCCTGCAACTGCCTGCTCACGTCACCGCTAACGGAAGGGCCTCCTCTTCGAGCTCCAGAGTAGCCCCTCTGGAGGGTATTTTGGCCTACTCTTTCACACTGGCCAAACGTCTTCGAAGAGGTAGCAGTATCCCACGCTTTACCCCACTGCACGCGATCTGCTGATGTACTCGTGATTTGTGGAGGAGGCTCTTGAAGGACGCTGCTCCTGGGGCAGTTGGAGGCAGACACCCCCCAGCAACAATGGAGGTCAGAGGAGCGACGCTCACAACAACGAGCGGATAGCAGGGCAGCTAAAACGCAGCGAGTTGGCATAGTAGGGGGTACACAGCTGGTGGTGCATCTGCCAGTCTACCCAGTTCACCCATGGCACCTGCTGGCTCTGTCCGGTGACCCCCTGCCAGCGAGCCTTCGACACTTCACGTGGCCTCAAAGTGCACCTGGCCTGGCACAGTCGCCGTGGTGATGTCACGGCCAGGACGGCAGTTTGTTGTTGTTGTCGCTGTTCAAACTGCTGGGTGGGCAGAGGCGGCGGGGGGGGTTGGGGGTGCTTCAAGAAACTTGCCCCGTTGAGAACGGCTGTGCCCGGAAATGAAATCGAACCGGCCACCTCTGTATTGCAAGTCCAGGGCCCCAACCATGACACCGTGGTGTATATATATTATATACATATATTAAATACATTTACTTTTATGGTATTTTTGAGTAATGTCATTACTGTTTCATTAATTATTATAAATGTCTTGGGCAATAATGGTGATAATTGTACTAATTGCGGGTATTAATATTCCACGCTTTGTTTTACTGTAATTCTCTTTGAGTGATTATTGAGGCCCTTTTATTTATCCAGGTGAGAGGGCCCTTTTGGGATTTGCCGTCCCGAATGCCAGGCAGAATGTCGTACCGTAATTTGCCAAGCAGGGATATTGTTCATTGCATGAACAACATTTTTTACAGGTCTTTTATAATAATAATTTGAACTTGTACCGATTATTTGTGCACTCTCGAAGGGAGAGAGCGAACGAGAGGAGGAACCACAGATGGAAGGCAGCAGCAGCCACGAGGTGCGCTGGTACCGTCCCTTCTGTGTGGGATATAGTGTTGCCCCCTCGCACGTGGGGGGGCGCGTGCCTTCCACATGCATGAGCACGCACTCATTGATTGGCTTAAAACATCTTTATGCACAGAAAGCCGCAGAGCTTGGCCAACTGTTGGGTAGCTCCGAGTCCTTGCCGCTTGGCTGCTTGCTGCTGCCTCCCAGCCTGGTCCTGCGGTTTCTCAGCGATTGTGAGAAATGCAATTGGCACGAACGACGGCGACGAAAAAACGAAACTAAACTAAAGCAAAAGAAAAACTCCGTGCAGGTCACGGGAGGTTATTTGACGCTGGTCAGGGCTGCGGTTGGTAAAGGCGAGGATAAGAAACACGGGATCGTAGTACGGTACGACGATGGATTTGGTGCTCTGCCATCTGCTGCCCAATTCGTAGCCTGGCAGCTGCCTATAACACCCTGTTCGTGCACAGTGGTCGCCCATCCAAGCACTGTCCAGGCTCAAGGCTGCTTAGCTTCCAAGCTCTGGATGGTATCAGGTTCACTCATGGGGAGAGGTCTGAGTGCAACATTTACATAAAATCCCACGCAATTCTCCCAGGATCCCATTATAATTGCTGTAATTTCTTATGGAATGTTACAAGTCGCCGTATTTAATTAATATTTTATATATATATCTGACCTATGAGATGTTTTCATAAGGAAGGGCCCTCGGTCTACATGTGTGCGTACTAATTGCTTTCAAACAAGGCCCATTAATTAGCGCCGATGTTCATATTCTCTTCCCGAGTCCGTGCCAAGCGACGGCTGCTCAGAAGTGAAATGAGCGGTGCGATCGTGACCCCAGCCGCCTCGCATGGCTCCCACGTCTGCTCACCTCAACCACCCTCACGCCGCCCGCGGTAGGGGAGTTGTAGACGGAGCTCTCTCTGTACTCTCTCCTGCTTACCCCTCCACTCTCACCGCACTCCACTCCCCTCCACGCACTCTCATGCCTCTCCCCTCTCATCTCACTCCACTCCCCTCCACACACTCCCCTGCCTCTCCCCTCTCATCTCACTCTACTCCCCTCCACACACTCTCCTACCCCTCACCCTCTCATCTCACTCTACTCCCCTCCACTCACTCTCCTACCTCTCATCTCACTCCACTCCCCTCCACACACTCCCCTGCCTCTCCCCTCTCATCTCACTCCACTCCCCTCCACGCACTCCCCTGCCTCTCCCCTCTCATCTCACTACTCCCCACCACGCACTCTGCTACCTCTCCTCTCCCATCTCACTACTCCCCTCCACACACTCTCCTGCCTCTCCCCTCTCATCTCACTCTACTCCCCTCCACACTCTCCTACCTCTCATCTCACTCTACTCCCCTCCACACACTCTCCTACCTCTCCCTCTCATCTCACTCCACTCCCCTCCACGCACTCCCCTGCCTCTCCCCTCTCATCTCACTCTACTCCACTCCACTCACTCCCCTACCTCTCCCCTCTCATCTCACTCTACTCCCCTCCACACTCTCCTACCTCTCATCTCACTCTACTCCCCTCCACGCACTTCCCTCACTCTACTCTCTTGCACGCACACTCAGCTACAGCAATCAATGCCTTCCATCAAAACTCTCAGTCAATCTCCACTGGGTGAGAGGTTGTTAAATCTCCTCTGCCCTCCTTGCGTTTGGCTGGAACCCCCTTACCGCCAAACATTCGTGTTCAAGACATCTTGCCTATGACCGACTGTCTCTCTCAGTCTCTCTCTGCAATGCAAATACGCCCTCTGTTTCTCTCCGGCATCCTGCGATGTGGCCATATTTAGACACTGCAATCAATCCACGTCGTACTGCAATGCGTTGGTGGCAAGAGTGCCCGGTTGAAGCGTGTTTCCTCACTTACCGAGAGCCGCCTCTAATTCGCGCACGGACGAGTTCAACCGATCCACGTTGGCAGCGGCACAAGGGGCACAGTGTCGCATGTTGAACTTCTTTTCCACCGTACGAAGCCTACCGCGCCAATCGGAGGTGCGGATTAGTGTCCTAATATCGTAATGAGGGCTCTCAGACGCTTAACTCTGACGGGCAACGTTGCCTCTGTGCTGCACGGCGCGAGACTTAGCGCCTCCTCCGAAAGGCTGAGTGGCTTGCTTGGCGATCACGGGGCCCCTGCATACCTCCGAGTGTCGTATTGTCCATGACTCGCACGATCAGGGGCCATGACCGTGGTGCAGCTGTGGCCATGCAAACCAAAGCGTTGTCCGTACAGTAAAAGCACTGCGCTCCTTCAAGGGAGGAGGAACACCATTCCTACACCAACTCTCTCTCCCGAAGCCCTCTCGTGGCGAGCAGACCATTATATGACTTTCAAACGACACGCAGGAAATGTGTGAAGAATGTGCGTCTCGTTTGAACTTTGTGCTTTTCCAGCTTGCGCTGTTATTCAGCCATGATGATGTCATTGGCCCATACCTCCGACGAGCGTGGTTGACATACGTGCGTAGGCGATGGGGGTTTCTTGTCGTTTATAGATTTTGTTCCAAAGGTGCATCACGTGCAGCGTTCACCTACCACGGTGTAGGGCGCGTCCACCCCCTCGTACGCATGGGGTAATCTCCGGGATCTCCGGTCTCCTCTCGCGAGTGAAGACGGCTGGGTCATGGAATTGGGCCAAACATCCCAATGTAGGACCCCCTCCGGAAAGAGAGTCCTCCATGCTCGAGTGAGGCGTTCCTGAATAAATAAAGGGCATGATTAATATTTATTCACGAACAACCTACGAGGGTGATTACAAGGGTGGTTGAGTGTTTTCAGCTTGTGTTTCTCCACCGCTACCCACCATAGCTGGGCTGCGATGTTATTTAAGTGAAGCGACGAATCGGCCCGCTTCTAAGTTCCACGACTCGACAAATCGGACAACAGTACAGAATCAACTCACCGCTGCTGCCATGTGTGCCACTGGCCGGGGAGGTGATGGGCGGGGCTTGGTGATGTCATCAGCCGTGTGTCATGCTGCGCGTGGCTTGTGAGGGCGGGGGGGGGGGGGTTCACACCTTCAAGATGATGGGACAACCGCCATGTTTGAAAGGAGGCCGAGTAATCGATCACTAAAAACACAGTCGATTACGATACTTTAGTCGATTAATCGACGCCATTGATTAATCATCCCGGCTCAATAACACTGCTGTTAGGAGACTGTAATAGGTGTTTGAGGCAGGGCAATGGCTGTGCGATGTAGTGGTTGTCACCCAGCATTGTGAACCCGGCTGTTGTGGACGTTTAACAACCGATCAGAAACGTAAAGCAGACAGAGACCAGGTAAGCGGTGAGTGGTACAAGTGGCTAAGCCCACTACCAACCCGGCGGTCCGAGTTCGATCCCCAGCCGTGGCTATTGCCAGTGGCTGGGTGATATCCGAACGAATCCCTGGGCCTTCTCCTCCCCACCCCCACCACCACCAGCACTGCCCAATTTCATAAAAACCTGCACTGACCGGTGTGGTGAAGTATGGTCAAACATGACTTGCACTGGGTGGGGAGGCATTAGCCCGGCAGGGGATTGACAAAGTGCCAAATATTATCATTATTTTTATATCTATGTCACTGTGGTCACGAAGCTTCTGGGTGTTGAGGTGCAGGTGCACATGAAGGGATGGTAGGAATTAAATGTCGAAATAGAAATTCTCAATAAACCATAGCGGCACAACAACCGCTGGTCACTCTTTGCAGGGCATCACAATGTGTGGCTCTGGTGTTGGAGAGGAGGCTATTAAAGTGACTTCAGAAGTACCGTATACTAGTTCTACAGCATCATCTTCCAGGGCAATTCTTTGACACAGGGTCATGCTCTGCTAGCTACGGCAGAAGTCTGACTGGATCCGATGGGATTATGATGGTAGCACAACTGGAATATGCTTCTAAAATAACATTTGAGTAAAAAACCCGTCAGCGTATTTTTATTGGGGCGACACTCGCGGCTTAATTTCAGTCGAGTTTGTCTGGGTCAGCAATCAAGGAAATATATCCACACCCCGGCACACCACATCCAATAAATTTCATCTTGCTATGGAGCCGGGTGCCAAAAATCAAGTCTCACCAGCGACCCGGAAAATATTTGGTAATAAACAAAGTCCCGCTGTCGCGTCACTGCAACGGGGCGGTACCCGATACCAGGACAACGAGCCCACGGTGGAGCGGAGCACGACAATTCTCCCAGCATCGCCAATGCCCTTCGTCTCCCGGCACCGGCCGCCAGTGGTCCAGCGCTCTTGCCGCATCGTGGGCAGGGTTCGGATTCAAAGTGAGCAGAGGGGGGGGGGGCGAAATATAGAACCCTCTGAGGGATTTGAAGAATTACAGAAAATTGCTGAGAGTGAAATCTTCCCGTGCAGCAGCAGCAGCAGCAGCAGCAACGACCCAAACAAAAAGAATGAATAAATGAAAAGGAAAACCGTGTATGGAAATTGGAAAATTGAGGAAGTTTACTGGAAAACCTACGCCTGTGATCTGGGAAATGCATGTTAGTGATTTAATACCCGCTATGTTACTTTCTGCCACATCGCATCAGTCCAGCGGAGAGGCGGCCTGATGAGCCGGGCGGGGTGGGGAAGGCGGCGGCGGCGGGCGCTTTCGGGACCGGCCGGTCGGCCGGCCTGCATGTCAAGAGGCAATAATCGCGGTGAAAAACGCATCGGAAACATCGCGAGCGCACGGCGTCGCCCGCGGTTACCGCGCGCCAAAACTTTTGTGTAAATTCGAAGTAACTCGCACAAGCTGTGCGCGAAAAACCTGACACGAGGCGCCCGAAATCCGCAATCGCGAGCGCCGTGGGGGCTGCCGCATTAGCGGCGATATTTGCGCCAAAGATTCGAGTGAAGGGGGGGTGGGGGGGGCAGTTAGGGGAAGAAGAAAAAGGAAAGCAAAAGCGGTAGCGTCACCGAGATCCGTGGGTGCGGAGCTGAGCGGCCACGGTGTGATCAAGCGGAGGTTTTCGCGCGAACTGATGACTGGCAGCGGAAAACGGTGACGTCCGGTGAAAATGCGCAATTTTCGCTTAAAAACCTGGGGCCCTCTCGGCTCTGACGGTTCCAGAATGCGAGTGCGTTGTGCGCAACGTTGCCCACGCGGTGTGACCCCTTCGCTAAGCCGCTGCTGGATCGCGGTCCCTTCCCTGCGCTGTTGCAGTCCTTGGCAGTTATTCGGAGGCAGGGGGCAGCTGGTGCAGCATCGTACAGCACAACGATGGATGATTTCTGCACTTTTCCAGTGACGTGCCTGGCACAAGCCGTGCTCTCTAACCCATGCAATTCGTCGTTGTGTCTCTCGGTTTCTCTGGCTCCCTCAAAAGCTCGTGTTATGATCACACACCGTGGGGGTTTTGTTTTTTTGTTGCTGCTATTCGCGTGCGTTTCGTTTACGACCGTCAAAATATCTCGTTTGTTAGTTGTGCAATATTCCTTAAAGGACACTACTCATTCACTACAGTATGAATGTGTTTTTTATTTGTTTTTTTGCTGCTGCTGTGCTCACACAAATACACTTAAACGGTGCAATTCCTCTCTCCATGCCAATCTGCATGACAATTGCAATTTGGTCTTGGCTCTGGCGATTACAAAACTTTAACCCCAATCCTAACTCTTACCCGAACCCGACGAGATAAACTGGTAGATGCAGATCCATTGGTGGGGGTAATGACCACTGTGGTGTAGGGGAAGGGGGGACTGCCTAACACCCCAGAGCTGAAGTCTAAAATTAAATTCAGAAGGGAGGTGAGGTCGCAGATGGATGGGGTTAGTGTCTCTTCTTTGTATATCAGCATAACACAGCCCGAGACCCTGATAGCAAAACAAATGTTAGTTAAATTATCGTATATCAAATTATCTGTTGATACCGCATTGGCCGTGGTGCACAAGCACAGATAACCAAATAAAAACGCACTTGTCAATAACACCATGGCCTTAAACGAAAGAAATGTGTAATACGTGATGATATGGCCTATGACCCTTCTTCGTGGTACATAAATGATCGTACAAAGCAACCCAGATGGCGGTATGGCCCATCTTGTCAGATCTCGGAAGCTCAGCACGGTTGAGCCTGGACAGTCCTTGAACGGGGTAACTGCCATGAACTCAGACAGGTGAAACGTTACGGTACTCGTATTGTAAATGTTGTAGTGGGTTTAGTCTCCAACACACAACCGGCGTGCTGTACGAGTAACGAATTGTCACGTTTTGTTTACGTGACAATTCTTACCAATTGGCTGTCGGGTGGTGGCGGGTTTGACGACACATTTATATTTACGCTATCTAACCCCCCAAAAACCTCTTATGGACACTGACATGTGATTACAGGCTGCTGCAGGGCTGTATTTGTGGTAATTGGGTAACTTGTGAGTAATTTTTCAAGTTTGGATGTTGATTCGTCACCGTCAGCACCTTATCTGGACTAATCGAATTCTAGAGGGCACTAAATCAACCTAGGCATGCCCCGCCGTGTTTCTAACCTTAGCGCAACCAGTCACTCCTGACACTGCGAGGGCCTCTCTGTAGCCGGTCGACACACACATTGTTATGTTTCGTGTTGTTATTGGAGTGTGACCAAGGCTGCATTGGCTGGGTCATGTAGCCTGCATGGCACAGCCACCGCATGCCCAAGCAGCTTCTGTTTGGCTGGGTTGAGGGGGGCTCGACGGACACAACACGGGCTGGAGAAGGGATGGAGCCGATGCGGTACAGGAGGACGTGGAGCTGAGTGAACTTGCCGAAGGCCGGTACCAGCGGTGTCAAGATCGGTCTCTGTGGAGGAGGCTCGTGAAGGACGCTACTGGGTAGTTGGAGGCAGTCGCCCTCCAACAACAAAAACGCTCAGGCCAATGAGCAGAGCGCCAGGCAGCTAAAATGCAGCAAGTTGGTACAGTAGGGGGCACAGGTGGTGTATCTGCCAGTCATCTCAGTCAATCAACCCATGGCACCTGGGTTTAGCTCGAGATCTTCCGTCAGCTAGCCTCCGGCACTTCACGTGGCCTCAGAGTGCACCTAGCCTGGCACAAGCACCGTGGTGATGTCACCACCGCTTAGTGACAAATGGCGGCTGTTGTTGATGCTGTGTCTGGACATTGTAGGCTGTTTGTGGATGTTGTTATTGCTGTGTGGTTGTTGTTGCTGTGTGTGGTTGTTGTTGTTGCTGTGTGTGGTTGTTGTTGTTGCTGTGTGGTTGTTGTTGCTGTGTGTGGTTGTTGTTGCTGTGTGTGGTTGTTGTTGTTGCTGTGTGGTTGTTGTTGCTGTGTGTGGTTGCTGTTGCTGTGTGTGGTTGTTGTTGTTGCTGTGTGTTGTTATTGTGTGGTTGTTGATGCTGTGTGTGGTTATTGTAGGCTGTTTGTGGTTGTTGTTGCTGTGTGTTGTTGTTGTTGCTGTGTGGTTGTTGTTGCTGTGTGGTTGTTGTTGCTGTGTGTGGTTGTTGTTGTTGTTGCTGTGTGTGGTTGTTGTTGTTGCTGTGTGTGGTTGTTGTTGTTGTTGCTGTGTGTGGTTGCTGTTGCTGTGTGTTGTTATTGTGTGGTTATTGTAGGCTGTTTGTGGTTGTTGTTGCTGTGTGTGGTTGTCGTTGTTGCTGTGTGTGGTTGTTGTTGCTGTGTGTGGTTATTGTAGGCTGTTTGTGGTTGTTGTTGCTGTGTGTGGTTGTCGTTGTTGCTGTGTGTGGTTGTTGTTGCTGTGTGTGGTTATTGTAGGCTGTTTGTGG